AGCCCTGGAACAGGCTGCCCAGGGAGGGTGTGGAGTCCCCTTCTTTGGAGATCTTCAAGCCCCACCTGGATGCTCCTGAGTAACATGCTCTGACAAGCTCTAGGCAATCCTGCTTCAGCAGGGGAGTTGGACTAGATGATCTCTATGGTCCCTTCCAACTCTAAAAATTCAGTGAAATTCAGTGAAATGCAGTGCCCAGGGAGGGCCCTGCAGCTGATTCAGTGAGTTTGCACAAAGTGCTGCCACTGGACTTGAGCTGATGGTCCTGCTGCCAGTTCTCCAAAGAAAGGACTCCAGTTCCCCCCCCAAAACACCGCTCCCGTGGCGCTGAGACAAAAGAGGGGCAAAACCAGTAGCAAAAACACCACTTAAGTCATCACAGGCAGCGAAAAGGATCATCTCCACGGAACAGCTTTATTGTCCCGAGGGCTCCGTTGCCACCCTTTTGATGAGAGCCACACTTTCAAGTCAAGCTGTCCTGGATTATAAACCATCTCATATTTGAGGAGCCAAGAGCTTGCTATTTCCCATTAAGTGCTATTAATTGCTCTGGTTTATCACGTTGTGCAGTTTGACCTAGCTTACTTTCCCCCCCCCCACCCCCCCCCCCCCAGTTCCTGCTGCAAAACATCCATCACTTTTTAAAGGGTTACATAAAGCTACAAGGAAAAGGCTCTGGATTGTGTTAGCTTGATTGCCACAGACTTTAATAAAGCACCCATCACAGCTGCCTAGCCATGCTATAGATCAAGCTCCTATAATCCTTTTCATGTCTCCAGAGGGGAAGGAGAGGGGAAACATAAAATTTAACCTCCCAGGGTTTCATTTCTGGCTGGGAGAGATGTCAGAGGCCGTGTGAGCTTTCATTTTTTCCTTGCTCCTTCAGAATCCACAGCAAGAGACGGAAGGAAACAAGGGGGAAAGACAAGGACAACGAGGTGGCCACATGGACCACACTCTTCACGGCACCTAATAGCGTGCCAAGGACACCACCACCACCACGGAGTTACTGGACAAGTGGCCTTTGGTGGCCACATGGACCACACTCTTCACGGCACCTAACAGCATGCCAAGGACACCACCACCACGGAGCTACTGGTCCAAGGAAGACAAGTGGCCTTTGGTGGCCACATGGACCACACTCTTCAAGGCACTTAACAGCATGCCAAGGACACCACCACCACGGAGTTACTGGCCCAAGGAAGACAAGTGGCCTTTGGTGGCCACATGGACCACACTCTTCACGGCACCTAACAGCGTGCCAAGGACACCACCACCACCATGGAGTTACTGGCCCAAGGAAGACAAGTGGCCTTTGGTGGCCACATGGACCACACTCTTCACGGCACCTAACAGCGTGCCAAGGACACCACCACCACCACAGAGTTACTGGCCCAAGGAAGACAAGTGGCCTTTGGTGGCCACATGGACCACACTCTTCAAGGCACCTAACAGCGTGCCAAGGACACCACCACCACCATGGAGTTACTGGCCCAAGGAAGACAAGTGGCCTTTGGTGGCCACATGGACCACACTCTTCAAGGCACCTGAAATGTAGGTGAATTCAAGCATGTCCAAACAGTATTCACTCAAAGGAAACATTCCTCTCAGAGACACCAGGCTCTGCCCGTGTGATGTTGCCTTCAGTTCCACTCCAAAACCATCTGAGCTCCTGCCAGATGGCGAGGGGAGGAAATAAATGTGTACTCACACACACACACGTGGACGTGGGCCTTCTCCTCAGATGGCATGAATCAGGGACAGCGGAATCACAAAAGCCAACCACACACCGCAACGTGGTAAACAGGTTTTTAAAACAAGAGTTTTAAAGTAGAAGGAACTCGAGCAAACTAAAATATTGAATTTCCTCACTGTCAGCCTGAAAAAAAAAAAAAAAAAGGAGCTGTAAGCCTTAAAAGATAAACAAAATTCTGCCTCTAACACAAATAAAATTTTAAAGAGCAATTCACTTTGTTCAAAATTTGTCACCCTGGGCTCACGCTCGCTTTCGAAAAAGAGGCTGACCTGAGCAGTTCTTTTTTTTTATTTATTTAAAACATAACAAGCCAACCCCGAGCCATTTCTTTTTGTTTGGCTCGCTCTTTCTGGGTATTAATTTCAATTCAATCAAGGAGGCAGTTGCATAACTGTTGTTTATAATTGCTGTCACGTCAGCCCCGAAACCGATCACCGCGCTGCTGAAGTTACATAAAAAGGTTTTGTTAGGATTTTTTTGTTATTTTTTCTCGTTTAAAATTGCGGGAAGATGAAGTCCTACCCTGGAGAGATGTTTTGGTTTTCTGAGCTCTGTTGCCTATTAGTCCTGTGCTTTGGTGTCTTTTCGCTCCAGTTTTGTTTTACACGGTGCAAGGGTCTGTTTATACACATAAAAATCTCCCAAAACCAGGTCTTTGCACCCCATTAGTGCTTGGGTTGTAAAACTGTGCTGAGTCAGAGAACAACTGGCAAAATTAAAGTTCACAAAGTGGGTAGACTTTTAAGGAGCCATTTAAACACATTTCTGGAAAGGCAGGCTATTTAAATGCTTAATTGGACTGGGATTGTACTTTACCTTGCTCCTCTGAAGCTGGTGGGCTCTCAACCATCAGCATCAAACCCCAAGGGATGGTTTCTCCTTCTCCTTCTGCCTTCTCTTACACACCACAACGATCCTGGAATGGAGAGTCACCTCCTCCACCCACCCACAAACACATTTCCTTGCTCCTCTCCCAACACTTGTGGCTATTCCCCCCGGATTCGGGGGTGTACTCACCTGGCAGACACCTCTCCTGCCTGCAAAGAATTCAGATGATCTATTTTACCATTATTTTTCTCTCTTTCTAGAGGTGAGAATGCCAGGGGCACACTCACAGCTATCTTGGGCCCAAGGTGGTCAGAAAGCTAGACTGCCCTGCAGATATAAATGCTTTAAGCCAACAAATAATTAAGGACTGTAGAAAAATACACCTGAGTGCCATCAACACTCTCCCCCCTTCCAAAAAAAACCCCTCTCAGGACCACAAAATACATCTGCTTCCTTATAATTAGCATCTTGTCCATGAGTCCTGCCTCCCCGTGGAGAAGGTCCAGAAGCAGGAGCCCACGCTCCTCCTTTTCACTCCAAACTCCAGAGAAATAAGTAAGAAGAAGGACGGGAGAAGGTCCAGAAGCAGGAGCCTACGCTCCTCCTTTTCACTCCAAACTCCAGAGAAATAGGTAAGAAGAGGGATGCAAGGTCCTTGCTGGAGGTTTGAGCCAGTGACTTGTTCCACCCGAGGAGAATTAACCAAGAAGAAGACAGAAACACCGGCGGTTTCTGTAGGGAAGCAGCAAGGAAAGAGTTGGTCAATCGATGTTTTTTGTACGGTCGTCGCTCGAAATTCCTTCTGAATGAGCACATCCAGATCGTGTGTGTGTGTGTGTGTGTGCGTGTACGGGGGAACAAGCAGTACTTTGTGAGGAAAAAAACTGTTATCTTCTGAAGGATGGGAGCGTTACAAAAACGCAGGGTCTAAGCATCTCGTTTTAGGCAGGCGTACGGAAGACGGTTTAGCCAGACGCAGAGGATGCGTTCTCAAAGATACTCCCCCAAAAATGCAATCAGAGGAGTATCTAAGAGTCAACGACACAAATCGACACCCCGTTGAGCAAATTACCCAGGCCATTAACTTCAAAATTTGGACAGAAGTTCCAATTTCAGCAATCAGATCTCCACTGGGAGACCTTGTGACTGAGACGAAGGCGCTTCATCATCAAATCATAGAATTGTCCAGGTTGGAAGGGACCTTTAGGATCATCTAGTCCAACCATCAACCTAACTGATAAAAAAGAAACAAACACACACAAAAAGCCTCCATATCACCAAACCATGTCCCCCAGCACTATGTAAACCCATCTTTTGAACACCTCCAGGGATGGTGCCCTCAACCACTTCCCTGGGCAGCCCATTCCAAGGCTTGATAACCCTTTCTGTGGAAAAAAAATTCCTAGTTTTCAATCTGAACCTCCCCTGGAGCAACTTGAGACCACTTCTTCTTGTCCCATGGCCTGCTCCTTGGGAGAAGAGACCGACCGCCCCTGGCTACACCCTCCTTTCAGGGAGGTGGAGAGAGCAAGAAGGTCTCCCCTCAGCCCCCTTTTCTCCAGGCTGAACACCCCCAGCTCCCTCAGCCTCTCCTCACAAGACTTGTGCTCCAGACCCCTCACCAGCTCCGTTGCCCTTCTCTGGACCTGCTCCAGCACCTCAATGTCTTTTTTGTGGTGAGGGGCCCAAAACTGGACACAGCCCTCAAGGTAGGGCCAGTAAACCTCAACATCTTTTTTGTGGTGAGGGGCCCAAAACTGGACACAGCCCTCGAGGTAGGGCCAGTAAAGGGCAACGATCACCTCCTGAGGCCTACTCCCCACGCTGTTCCTGACACAGACCAGGATGCTGGTGGCCTTCTTGGCCACCTGGGCACACTGCTGGTTCCTATTCAGCCAACAGTCTACCAACATCCCCAGGTCCAGCCACTCTGCCCCCAACCTGGAGAACTGCAGGGGTTGGTGGGACCCAAGGACAGGACCCAGCACTTGGCTCTGGACCCAAGGACAGGACCCAGCACTTGGCCTTGGTGAATCTCATCCCATTGGCCTCAACCCATTGATCCAGCCTGTCCAGATCCTTCTGCAAAGCCTCTCTACCCTCCAGCAGGTAGAAACTTGGTGATGACACCACCCAACTTGGTGTCATCTGCAAACTTACTGAGGCCTATTTCGAAAGGATTTGTGAAAAGCAACTAAGAAAATCAAGGCGTAAACGCGCTGTTCAAGAGTGCGCTTACTGAGGCCTATTTCGAAAGGATTTGTGAAAAGCAACTAAGAAAAATCAAGGCATGTGTAAACCCACTATTCAAGAGTGCACGTCTCCTCTTGCAAAAAAAGCTCCCCAAAATCAGAATGACTGAAAACCAGGTCTCTGAGCTGCACCCGAGGGTGTAACACGGACACACTTACCCCTGCTCACGGTGTCCCAGCAATTTCTGCTCTAAGAGTGGTGATACAGCTTGTGAAAAGCACTTTAGACAGAACCCTGGCCAGGTTGCTCTTACCAGCTTCATTTTCACCAGGAGGAACGGTGCAGCAAAGCATTGGGAGAAGCTCTACTACGGTCTTAGTAGCTACGAGTTCAATCTCATCTTGGCCGCTCTCCGCTGCGCAAAAGAAACAGTACTTCATTACTGTCAGGAATAAAATGCTTAAAAAGGCTCTAAGGAAGCCGCAGAAAAACTTCAATAGTGTGCACTTGCTTTGGTTTCGGGCTAAACTTCAACAGATGGTTGTGCTTTGGAAAAATCCACTGGAGTCACAAGCCTGAAGCTCAGTATCCATCAAAGGTGGGCATCTGAGCAGTCTTGTCATTGCTTTGTGATTGTGGGTGTTCATCTAGAACAGGCTTTAGGTTCCTCACGTTCTGTGAAGCATCACTGCAAACTCCCAGCTGGGTCTGGCTGCCTTCAAACCAGCAAAGTCCTTGCTTTTTGTGGGAAAGCCACAGAGTCGAAGCCTTTACATCTCAAACTTAACTCCCTCCAAAGCCATCACCAGATACACTCACTCTTCCAATCGGGCTTTTGATAAAATATCTCTGTCCCTACGCAAGGTCCTACTTGGACCTTTCCCTACTCAGGAAAATTAAAAGTTGGCACTTAGAAACCTCTCCAACCCCACCATCCAGGGTTCATTGTGGCTCTGCACCATGGAATGTTTTTCCATTGTCTTTTTCCTTCCCACAGAATCCCATGGGGTTGGAAGGGACCTCTGGAGATCATCCAGTCCCACCCCCTGCCAGAGCAGGTCACCCAAAGCAGGTCCCACAGGAACGTGTCCAGGTGGGGTTTGAATGTCTCCAGAGAAGGAGACTCCACCACCTCCCTGGGCAGCCTCTGCCAGGGCTCTGCCACCCTCACAGGAAACAAGTTCCTCCTCATCTTCAGGTAGAACTTTTCATGTTCAAGTTTATGCCCATTCCCTCTTGTCCTGTCCCTGGGCACCACCAAAAAAAGACTGGCCCCATCATCCTGACACCCACCCTTGAAGTATTTAGAAGCATTAATCAGATCCCCCCTCAGCCTTCTCTTCTCCAGACTAAAAAGACCCAAGTCCCTCAACCTCTCCTTGTCAGAGAGATGCTCCAGGCCCCTCATCATCTTTGTAGCCCTCTGCTGTCCCCTCTCCAGCAGTTCCCTGTCCTTCTGGAACTGGGGAGCCCAGAACTGGTCCCAGTGCTCCAGCTGGGGCCTCCCCAGGGCAGAGCAGAGGGGCAGGATGACCTCCCTCCACCTGCTGCTCACCCTCTTCCTGATGCCCCCCAGGATGCCCTTGGCCTTCTTGGCCACCAGGGCCCATTGCTGACTCATGGGCACCCTGTTGTCCACCAGGACTCCTGGGTCTTTCTCCTCAGAGGTGCAGGTCACCCCCAACCTGTCCTGGTGCAGGGGGTTATTCCTCCCCAGGTGCAGCACCCTGCACTTGCCCATGTTGAAGTTCATCAGATTCCACCTCTGCCCAGCTCTCCAGCTTGTCCAGGTCTCACTAGATGGTGGCACAGCCTTCTGGTGTGTCAGCCACCCCTCCCAGTTCTGTACCATCAGCCAACTTGCTGAGGGTACATTCCATCCCTTCATCCAGGTCAGTGATGAATATATCGAATCCCATCTCAGATGCCTCCTACCTGTGCCCTAGCTCTGTGTGGATCCAGCCACCATCCCAGCTCCGACCGACGGGGAGGCAAATTAATTTAATTGCAAGTCTTGCCAGAAAAGAGCAGAGGTGGATTTTAAGTCCCACAACACTCCGGCTGTTTCGTGACTATTTGGAAACTCACAGCTGCCATCGCGACGACTCTGGCTACTGTCCTTCTCTAAACATCTTCTGCTTTGACTAATGTCATTAGGCTCGCTCTTGGCTGGCTTTCCATCAATAAAACCCCGTTTTCAAGAGATGGCCCCACAGCTTTTTCCAGAATACAGCCTAAAAGAGAGCATTAACAAAAGGAAATGTAATATACAATGGAAAATTAAACCAGAAATGTGTACTTTGTTCTTAATACTCTTTACTCATGTAACTTCTCCAACCATTTATTAGCGCTTATTTTGTTTTAAACTACCTTCCTCCCAATGACAGCTTCAGCAACAGCCAGTTCTCCTCGTACTCAACTATTTTGAGACTAATTATAAGCAAAAGTCGTAAGAGAATGGAACTCTAGCAACAGGGTCGCACCTTCTTACGCGAGGTCGAAGCGAGTCTTCGGTTACTGGAAGAGAAACTCTGGTTTAGTTAAATAACGACACAAAGCAAAGATATACTCCATAAAACATTAATATTTTAATGAAAAATCTTAGCTTCATGTTTCTATCCAAAGACACTCAAAACTAGTTTTTCTCCCCCCTTAATTTTGACCTATAATGGGACCAGTTTGGAGATATTTTTTTTTTTTTTGCATTTTAGAACATTTTTTTTTAAAGATTAAACAACCAGGCTAGCAAAAAGGTACCCAATACATACTTTTCTTATATCAAACAAGCTAGTATTTCAATACAATGTAACTATACAGAATATATACATTACACATATGATCACAAAGCAAACACTACAGGCTCAGAACAGATTTGAAAAAACATGATATTCACATTGATTACAATAACTCTAAAAATGATTGTAACGTTGAAACGGCACTTAGTTTACAAAAAAAGTCACAAAAATATATATAGCCACCAAGAACTATGGTTCCTGAAAAATACTAATAGCCAGATAGTATTATATAAAATGTGAAGTGTATTTAAACATCGTATACATTAAAAAACAAAACCAAAACCAAAAAAACAATTCTGTTAAGTCAATAAACATGCCAAGTAATCTAGCTGTGGCCAGCATCAACAAGAGAAGCTGTACTGTGGATGAGATGACAACTGGATATACGGCTGGTGACCGGAGACTGGCACAGTTAAGGGGGTTTCACTGGTACTAAAATGCACAAAGAAGCCCAACAATAATTTAATTCACATTATTTATTTATTTATTTATCTTTTTTTTTTTTCTTCCCTCTCCAGCTTACTCTTTTCCCTCTCCGGGGGGTTTCACCATAGGGCAGCACCTGGAGTGAAGGTACTGCAGGACCAGGGCAAAGAAGCTGTCCAAGAAACTTGGTTGTAGCCAGGGCTAGAAGTCAGAATATCTAAAAGCATGCATCAGCTAAACGAATGGTGAAACAAAAAAATCACTCCTCTGGGGACTTCAGCAACCCTCAGGAAGACTGTAGGTACAGAAGCCACACAGGTTGGCAGCACCACCAAACTAATTTGGCTTCTGGTTTGGTTCTAGTGCAACCAGATTTGTCACTGAGGCCTGTGGGCCACTGAATTACTGCGATAGCACACATCGAGTTAACAAAAACCCAGAGCAGTAACTACTGTTGCATTAAAAAAAATTCACATTTGTGTTTGGTTTTTTTTGTTTTTTTATGGTACATTTCCTCAAACGCTTTGAACCGATTCTATTTAACTAAGGACCTCTGATGTGGCTGAGGCACCGTCCGGCCTTGAACCCTCCTATCTGTCATCCAAATGCTATGGAATTTATTATTATGTCCATAATCGGAGATGAGAACCCTCCAAAACTGGGCTTCACCTTGTAAGCAAAACTCGAACGTAATCGATCTGAATGAAAATTAGCTGTTTTCCGTATTCTGATGGTGTGGAAGTTGCAATGGATCTAGGAGCATCTGCATTTTCTCCATCCCTGCAGGGGGGACAAAGCTCCCCTTCTATTTGCATATAAAATACTTCATGGTTCGTCTCAGAGAGAGACCCCAATGGTCTCCTACGTCCTGGGGCTGGAGGGGAACACCAGCAACCAAGAAGCGACTGAAGCCCTCATATAAAAACTTTAAACCATAGCTTAAAAACAATAAAATTCTATCCCTTAAGGGACATATAGGGATCATAGTCTTAGAAAATATATTTTACTGCATTGGCAGCTATCACTTTTTTAAAAAAGCTTAAATTCACACCTTTTAGACTCAAGATACACGTGAACCCAGAACCGTTTTCAAGAACCTAGGCTAGTAATCTCTCAGTATGAGAGACGTGACCATAGTGTCTGCGAGCCTGACAACTCAACTCAAACTGTAGCAGGACAAGACAAGCCACTGGGAACACACAGAGCTTCCCAACACGATGTAAGGCCAGAGAGAAGCAGGTTTTTGATGGGGGGAGCTTGATTTGTGGAGCATGTGGGCATCCCCAGGGATCCCCCGGGGGAGTTGTGCTCTGTATCCGCATCGAAAAACCAAAAACAAACCCTCAACAACTTGGCCAAATCTCCAAAGAGCACTTCTTTCCCTCCCTCTCTTTGCGGGGAAATAGAAAACTTCTGAATTTTTTACTCCCCTCTCCCAAAACACCGTGTTAAGTCAGAAAAAAAAAAATACCCCATCCCTTCCTTTCCCGTTGTTGTTCCCATCGGACGTACTGGTCTAAACAATACGTGAGGAGTAAAGACCCTGCTCTGGGAAGGTGGGTCCCAGGCACAGGGCAGAACTTTGTTAGTTCTGTGGTGGTGAAGGCACTCTTGCTTGCAAAAGAAACGGGGGGGGAGGAAAGGATTTTCCACTCAGTGCAAAGATCGGTGCCACATGGGAGAAGGGGACGGAAAACCGGGACGTAAATCACTCGGCGAATGAATTTGGAGACAGAGGAACTGCTGCAATGGGTCATACCTGTAGCTAATTTGGAAGAAAGTCTAAATAAGTTATAGGGGCCCCTTATAACAGCCCCTCTCTGGCTGAAGAAGGCTCAGGGGGATCTGATCAATGTGTAAAACTACCAGATAGAAGGGGGCAAAGACGATGGAGCTGGACCTTCCTCAGTGTGGGCACAAACTGGAACACAAGAAATCCCATCTAAACATACTAAAGCCTTTTTTTACAGGGAGGGTGGTCAAACACTGCAACAGGTTTCCCAGAGAAGTCAAGGAGGCTCCATCTCTGGGGATATTCAGAATATCTGAGCAACCTCCCTCCTCTGACCTCCTCCAGAGGTCCCTTCCAACCTCAACTGCTCTGTGACGGCATGATCCTCGTCAAGCAGAAATAGAAACGCAAACCAAATAATGGAAAAAAAGGAAAAAAGAAAACTCACTCCAGAATTCAAAACCCTCTGATAAGAGTACTGAAAGAAATTTATGCTTTAGGTTTAATCCCAAGTAGTTTAAGGCAAGTTTCTTCTAGCTCAGTTAGATATCTCTCTCGCACAATTTGGAATCTAAGCATATCAGCAACAGAGATTGTTTTAAGATGTCCTATGTTTTCACATCTCTCCTGTGAAAAAGACCAGCATTTCAAAGTTCTGAACACTTCCAACATTTAGGGAGGAGAAACCAAATTTGTGTTTAGTCTGTGCTCACTTCTACGGAGAAAAGAGGCATTAACAAGAAACGGTTAAAAACAGGAAAATTAACAAGTAAAGCCAACCCTAAACCAAACAAACAGACAAAATCCTCTAAGAACTCTATTGTTCAGCAGTTGAATGAGACTGAAAAGTGAGAACTACATTGAGATGTTACACAGAGATTAAAGGGTTGAAAAGATAATGTGTATCACAGTGCAACGAGCAATGAACCCCATGACTTGCCTTGGACCAAGGTGTTGATGATACCCATTTCTTTTCAAGGAAGACCAGATTAGAACTACAAAGTATTTTTTAACTTCTTTTTTCCCCTCTTCTCTTTGGTATTCAGAAAGCAGTTTGCCTTCTGACACAAAACTTTAAGCCTTAAAAATCCAATATCCAGTGGTGTCTGTTCTGTATTTGCACATTCCCTCATGGATAAACTGTTTAGCAAAAGCTCTAATGGGTGAAAACGATCAGATTCTAACAGAAGGTTATTGTTCTGACCACCTTCGTTACCCTTTTTACTCCAAAGGATTCTCTCACACCTGGAAAGATGAGTAACACTAACTACAAAAAAGAAAATAACATATTTGAGTTCAGTGTCACAGCCCTAGAATTCAGGATAAAACTCAGCAAAAGGCATTGCCTTGTCTCACTGGCTTCTTGGGTCTAGAAACCAGAAGTGGAAGAGAACTGGTCTTTCTATTCAGCCCACCAAGAGGCACTGGACTAATTCACAGTTCGGCAATGCCAAAACCAGAATTTCTCCTTCAAGCCCTTTTAAGAAGACTTACAAAGATAGATGTACAAGACTGAATTGGAGCAGAGAACGTCTTTGCAGCACGTTTCTAAAACACCCTTTGGATTTGGTAGAGAAACTTCACTCCAGTAACTTGGAAGGGGCTAAAATACCACCTGGTTTCGCTCTATTTAACGAAAATGTGTGGTTTTTTACCTAAAACGCCACGGAGAAAAATTGTTAAAGTCACCGAAACCCTTTAAGCTCTTTCCAAAGGGCAATATTTTCTTTTTTTCCTTACAAAAGTTGGCTATTAGTAGAAACAACCCAGACCTAGAGAGTATCAGAGCTGCTGACTGAATACAAATTGATCTTGCGATATAATACGACTTTTGTGTCTTCTGTTCCTTCAGCAGCAACTTTTCTCTATTGGTGTCATTTCCTCCTCATGTTTGCGTGAAACAAATCTGGGCAAAAATCAACAATTTAGAAAAAAATAAAAGAACCAACCCAAGATTCAAAACTAAAGGAGTATATCATGCCTTTGGAATACTAAGATCAAGTAATACCTACTCGCTCAGCGTGTCGTCTGTAGGCAGGAGGCATTTGGCATCAAACACTGAGTTAACTTCAGAAGCAATAAGAAAAATCACAACCCTCCTAATGGATTTCCTAATTTAGGTTTCAAAGCAGTGCCATAGCCCAAAAAAGCCTCGACAAAACAAGACTCGCCGCTCTGAAAACCCCACACCCGAAATTTGCAGCTTTTTTTTTTCTAAGTATGGAAAAATAAAATTGCAAATCTTTCAATTTATTGCTGACTTGAGCTGTGTACGTAGCTGGAGTAATGGCCTTTAATAAACCGAGTTGGCAGGGATTTCAAATGTCTTGAAACAGGAACAATTCATCATTGCTATATAGGTTTTTTGTAAACAACCCCCTGTTGGGTTAGAAAGTTGGCCTCTAAAGAGAATAAATTGCTTATTTTGTCCAAAACAGGCTAATATCTCAGAAACTATACATGTGTATGTATAAACAAACAAGAAAAAGTGCAATAATGCACAAAAGAGCTCATTTTTTCCCCATCTGTAAACTCATTCTAGCTCGCTTTTGGAGATGAGCAAAAATAGAGTCTATGCGATCGGGGGAAGTGACCAGAGCTGCAGCCAATCTGGTCAGGATTGAAGAATTTCAGTTTGGGGAAAAAGCTGAATTTTCCTCCGTGGTTCCCCTTCTCCAGAGAGCTACAGTCATGAGATGTTTGTCAGGCTTGCACAGATTTATACTTTTCTACCATCCCCAATTCATTATGCACCATTAGACTTTTCCTGACCGTAGCATTTCCACTCCTTAACCTGGGATGGGCAAATCCTGAAAAGGTTATTTGATGGAGCAGTTTCTAAAAGGACTGGAATATATCAGAAGTTAAGAATACCTGGCATGACATCACTTGGTTTGCCCAAAAACTGATTCATCCGAGATGAGAAAAAAGGGACAATGTGTTTTTAAAAAGTGTGTGACTGTTAGTTTCAAAAATGCTTACCATTTCCAAGAAAAGGGTTACAGTAAGCGCTTTGAAAAAACAGCAGGCACAGAGATAGGAAGTGTCATTTTTTTTTTTTATGCAGAAGATTAAAGCATCCACTCAAACCCAGTCAAAACCGTTCAATAATGATTTCCAATGCATCCTTTTGTTTGTCATTTTAAAAAGGTTCCCTCTGATTTCTTTCCCTTAACCAGAGGGTCTGCAGAAGCAAGAGAAACTTAATGAGCTGCTCTAACTGTGGAAGAAGAAATAGCTAAAGTGATCGGAATCAGTTGTTCTTCTTTAGAAGTGTATCACAGCTTCCATGATGTTCTGACAAGATCTTTTTGTGCATTCAGTCTTAAATATTTTCACAGAAGTGATCATTTCAGTCATGAAAAATAATGTAACATCTGTTGCAGTTTTCCGTTTAAAGCGTAGCTTACAAAGTAAAAAGGGAAAACTCTCCCCGCTTTCGTTTAAAAAAAAATTAAATTAAAATGTACAGGACCAAACACAGGCACTTTCCAAAGAACAAAAAAATGAAACCAAACCATGAATTATTCAATAGTAATAGATGACAGCTCTGGTTTCGGAGGGTCACCTGCGGCTGCCTCAGCAGTGGCATTAGTCTTTGGCTGCTCTGGCACATCTTCTTCCTTCTCTGCCAACCCACCCAGAGACCCCAAGGGGAAAGTGCTTTCACAATTCTGAGTTGACGACACCTGCGAAATGACAGGCATTTGGACAGAAGAGTTGCTTTCAAAGCCATGCTCCCCTAGCTCATACTGCCCGAGGGTCTCCTCTTGTTCCTGGTTTAAGTAGTCCGGGACTAGGAAGTCACTAGAAGAGGGGCAAAGGACAGAAGAGAAACAGTCATTTCTCACCCAAACATCAGCAGTATCAGTTTTCTTTGTCATCAGTTACAACACACAAGTGACATTCCACCTGGCGCAGAGAACAAAGGTATTAATTTCTCATTTCACATTGCCCTAAGACCATCACAGCAACATACTCCACCGAGCACTATAACCTGCTTCTCATTTAAACACACACAGAGAAATTTATTCAAAAGCATCTATTTTGCATTGTCGTGCATCCATATTTCCTACAGGGCAACTTCTTATTACTGAGACTGTTATCACCTCGACGAGAAGGAAAGTTAATGTCTGGAACATGGTACGGCACTGAAAACCTCATTGGGAAAAGGGGAGCACTCAACCTTTGAAAATAGAAAGAAAACCGAGTTCAGATGTGGGCCTTTTCCACCCCTGAGGTAAGAGCCACCCCAGAAACTCCTGGCAGAGCAGAGAGGCTGGAGACAGAAGTGGAAGGTGGGGAGGTGAGGGTTCTGTTAGGAGCATAGGGAAGCTGCCAGCCACAGAGGTGTTTGTGATGCTGACACTTATCCTTTGCAAATTTTCAGCACCAGACATGTACATTTGCACTAGAGGCAAGTATATATATATATTTCACATATATAGATGCTTACTATGCTTTGTTTCCTCCTTACAATCATCCATTTAAAAGCAGTCATTTCCTTCAACAGCAGCTACAAATCCAAATTTGCCATCAACGATGCTAAAACCTAGTGTTTGTAAACTAAAACTAAAGGAAGGCCTAGAGACAACGAAAAAATCCCATACTTGAATCTGACTTTAATTTGACGCCAACAACAAAGTGCTCACCACAATCGTGGCATCATCCCTGAGAGTTTTTGCTCTAGTTTTGGCACGAGCCCTAAGAACGAGAACTGCATAAACCCACAGATATGAAGCACTTGTACTTTTAAACAATATTCTGTTGGAAAAACAGCGCCTGGCTTTCCCCGCTTTGTTTTGCCATTTTTTTCAGCCGACGTCACTTCTGAGGTAACCAAATAGAACAAAATGCTGAAATGTTTTGTAGGGGAAAAAGCATAACATCTCGAAGTGATGAGGGATGGTATTGTAGATGTTGTAACATTTACAATATATTTCTTTTCGTGTCTCTGAAGACAGATGACTTAAACACACCAAGATTGAAGAGCTGTGAGATTTATCTTCCTCCACTTCCATATTTTTTACTATCTCAAATTCCAATGGATGCAACCTTTTGTTCCAATATGAGCACACAGAGCTGGTCTCACACCTCAGAACCCTCTTAATAGTTTTGTGAGCTGCCAAGTCTTTTGTGCCCTGATAAACAAGAAACGTCCAACTGGGCCTTTACTCTTTTTGAACCCTTTTAGTCTGATCATTTAGTGATATGTTACCTAAAAAATGATAAAAGAGAAGGCATGGAGTCATGCAATCTTTCCACAACATCAAGCAAGTGTTGAAAATGAAGTCACACATCTGTTCCCTATGTAAGTGAACGGGCTACGGACGAGGTTTTGAATAGCAAATCATTGACAGAACTCCACAGACACTACAATTTAGCACCTTATGGCTTAACACCATTCACCTGTCCATAAATACTACTGTAAAGAGAAATTCAGTGGCCCAGAAGCAGCTCCTGCATATCCCTTGATTCTTCAGTACCCTCCTTATGGCCTAACACCATTCTCCTGTCCACAAATACTACTGTAAAGAGAAATTAAGTGGCCCAGAAGCAGCTCCTGCATATCCCTCCATTCTTCAGTGCCCTCCTTATGGCTTAACACCATTCTCCTGTCCACAAATACTACTGTAAAGAGAAATTAAGTGGCCCAAAAGCAGCTCCTGCATATCCCTCCATTCTTCAGTGCCCTCCTTATGGCTTAACACCATTCTCCTGTCCACAAATACTACTGTAAAGAGAAATTAAGTGGCCCAGAAGCAGCTCCTGCATATCCCTCCATTCTTCAGTGCCCTCCTATAGAGCTTAGGTGCTGTAAGACAGAGCAGATACAACAGAGAGAGTGGCGCAAGAACGAATTTGACTGGAATTAGCTGGCAACCTGAGGAGAGGCACAGCAGGCTGCCCTGAAAGCAGGAAAAGATGATTTAGGAAAAATTAAAAAAAAAAAAAAAAGGAAAAATAATGAAAAAAAAATAATAAAAAAAAAGCAAGTTTCCCTGTTAGGTTTTTGCTGTGCACCTCACCTGCTCTGGAAGTAGTTTGCTAGCTCTGACGCTTCATGGTTCAAGCTCCTCAGGTGAACGATTAAATTTCCAGAGTTGGTGAACATGGCGCCACATGTTTTGCACTCGTAAATCCGAGGCTTGCGGATAATGTGCCGGGAAACCCGCATGTGGTGTTTATATTCCCCGAAGGAAGTGAAAGTGGCACTACATATCTGGCAGCGGAAACAGCGTTTACCTTCGTGCTTCAGGCGGTGCATCTTGAGCGAGTAAGCGCGGGTGAACTTTTTCCCACAGCGGTCACACTGAAATGGTTTAATGCCTGTGGAAGAGAGAGTAAAAAAAACAAAACAAAACAAAACAAAAAAAAAACAAAAAAACACCCGTTCACCTTTTGTAATCAGGTCACCGGCAAAAGCCCTCCCAGATTTCTAACAGCGAAAGCACAGCAGCTGTGGCCAGTCATAGCAAAGCGCTGTTTTAGGAAGAAGAAATGCTCTGGTTAACTTTTTAAAATAATTCAGGAAGGCTGGGGAGAACCTGTTTATAAAGTTTAACGGTTTTAAATTGGAAGAATAAAGATTCAGATTAGATCTCCGGAAGAAATTTTTGACTCTGAGGGTGGTGAGACACTGGAACAGGTTGCCCAGGGAAGTTGTGGATGCCCCATCCCTGGAAGTGTTCAAGGCCAGGCTGGATGGGGCCTTGAGCAACCTGCT